AAGTCGCTTACTATGAAAACATTCCGTCACAATGCATATCAGAACACAACAAGGTGTACTATGCAGAAAGAAAGGAAATTGGGTTTCCTAGGGTGAAATCCAAAATTACTCTTACTAATTCTCTATTAATTTTTACAGAACCTATTTTCTAGCTGAATTAATCTGATGGTGGGGGAGGGGGCAATGCACACCAGTATGTGAATAGGTGACTCCCTAATATGACAAAGACAGCTGTATTTTAACACAGTCAAATTTTGCTTAGTATTATTTCCCTTTTGAATCCACCTCTATAGAGAGTAAGCCTGCAAAGTACACACATTTAATTTGTGCGCTTTCAGTTTTACGAGAGTAGCAAAAAAAAGAAAAGAAAAAGGGGGTGGGGGCGGGAGGATATAAAGGGTAAGGAAAGAGACTGGGATTCTGGAGAAAATGACTTTGGTAAACCTACTCCCCATTTAACCCAATGTGTTTTGACTATACACAGTTTTCGCTTTAGGCATGATACCATATGTAAATTGGGGCTTACTGCACATTAAAACACACCCACACACACCCACACACACACACACACGAGTGTTGGATCTAAAGGTGACTTTCCACTCACAAACAGTCCTATCCTGACAAAAGGGGCATCTGAATGGAAAGAGTGGGGGCGACTGTCACCATCTTCCTTTGTAATCCCACATGTTACCTCTTATGCTGTTTTTCGGGGTGAGGGTCATATGAGCTGCAAGCAGGAAAATAAATCAGTAAAAATCTCTTTCCATCTTAGGATGCGACCCATTAATTCAGAATTAGAAGTAAAACTGAGCCAAAAGGATTCAGTTTCCGTTCTGCTATTGTCAAAAGAACTTCCATTTTCTGATTTTGACTGCTGCTCTATACAATTCTGTTGTATTGCTTCTCCACTGAGCACCACTCAAAGGGAGCTGAAAAGACTACTTAAAAACAACAACAACAACTCAAGGTGGCCACACAGTCCCAAGCACCTCTTGGAGGAGAAGGAATCTGGTCTTGGGGACACAGTTATTGGAAGGAGTATTCAATTTAATCTGCAAAATTAGGGTGGATGGAAAAAAAATTAAATCAATAAAGACTCACAGGATGGATAAGCCTTGTGTGAGAGTCCAGCGCAACATCTAACAGCTGAGACTTAGGACTAGATATGCAATCATTTGTACTTACAGTATATAGACTATTATGAGTACCTCTGGTAGCTCTTCAGACATTTTTATAAATTGCAAGAAATATGCGAGCTATTAAAAGATATAATTCTGAAAAACAGACTGCCGTGTGAGCCGCCAATTTAAGGCAACAACATAAACAATAGTAACTTGTGTGCTCAAGTGAAGCATCTTTTTAATTTTGAGTAATGAAGATGTCAAGCCAAATGCTAGAGTAGTTTAACTTAATTAGGTGTCCTATTTTTCCAGGCAGCCTTTCATTTCCCATTGAAAACTCAGCTTGTATGCAAGGCAGCAAGAGCAATTTTGTCTGTAATGAATACCTCTGGGATTGCACAGAGTAATCATTTGAATGCTATGCTGAAGACGGGTTTGAGTAACTAGTTTGGGCTTGTTGAGATGCCAGACATTGTGAGATTAACTAGATTAATTTGTAGCCTCCTATCATTATTGTTTCACTGGGTCAAGGGTCAACAGGTCAAGCTCACTTTACAGAGGGAGCCTTTGCAGCAAGGAACAGGTCCATAGTTGTTTGCCTAATAAGTTGTTCAAAATACTTTAATGCCCACAGACCTAGATGGTCATCTTCATTCAATATTCCCCATGGTTGTTTATCTTTAAACTGCTGCCCTAGAAAGTTTCCTAGAAAGGAGCCTACATTTTATGATACCTGCAGGGTACTTTTTACACCTGAAAAGGAGCACAGAAGAACATACAGTGCATATTTTAAGGGGCATTTTATACTGGGTATGAACCATCCAAGGGTATGTTATCTCACGCAGAAAATAAAAGCAGGCATTATGAGCTGGGAGGAAATAACCCGAGCACTTTCCTGAAAATGTATCATTGGATGATTGATTTTCTGTTTGCCTTCTGGAAGATAAAATAATAGCTTTTGTTATTTTTGTTTTATTGATTAACAGAGAAACCAGCTACTGCAGCTGATAAAAGTTGTATAACACTTTATAGATAGCATACAGTGTTTAAATTAACATATCTTTTTAATGAGGTATAGCCTTGCACAAAAATTATTAATAACTGTAATCCAGGCTTATATTTAACTATAAAGGGAAGGCACCAGACTGCCAATATCAAAGCTGTTTAGGATAACAAAAAAGTGTGAAAAATAAAGGGGTGCAATATCAGGCCCGGAAGACCAATTCATCAACAAAAAAATTAGAAAGCAAAATGCAAAGGTCATGTCCTATCACATGCAGTGGGGAAAAATAAAAAGGAATTTACCCCATCTTATCAAGTAATTATAGAGCCTTTCAGATGTGTTTCACTGATTTAGAGGCTGGAATTGGTGGAAATTAATTCATAATCTCAAATATAACCACCATTATATGTTAAAGCACTAGATCTTAGATACTTACGGAAACAGGCAATGCCCATTCTGTAGGGCATCATGTCTGATGTGTTCTCCAGGGTGATTATTCCATAATCACAACCAAGGGACTCTTGATAAAATACTATGGTCATCTTTTCAAGTTTCTAGAAAATACTCAACTCTAAGAAGTTCCATGATGCGTCACATGGAAAATACTATCAGGAGATGCACACAGATGACCATGGAAGATTGCCATGAGGCAAAGGCAAAAGAGTCCCTAATGGGTGCACATTCCATGCTATTTTAAATATCATCACACTGAAGTTCAATTATTAATGAAAACGTCACAATTTACTGTGTGATAATGAATATCTGAGCGTCGAGAATATTTTAAAAGCTGCCTGGGATGCATAACATTACACCAGATATTTGTCACCAAGAATACAATATTTACATATATAAAATATACACAAGCTTAGCAGCATCCAACAGTCTTTTGGGACAAACTAAAAGAATATCATTATTTTTTATGGTACAGTTATACTTCTGGCTCATTTCCAAGAACGGCTTTCTGTGGAAATCATTTCAAGTCTGGAATTATGCTGTTTGCTTGCAGCAACATCACAGGAACTGTAGTGAGCCATATGTTGCTACTTAGCAACTTAGTACATAAGTCCCAAAGCATGTACTGATTTGAAAATTGAACAGAAATGATAATTGTCAAGTGATGCTGTGAGGCAAGTTGTCTTGGATTACCAAGCTATGCAGATGTTTGATGTTATACTTTTTTCCTGATTGACAGTTGAGTTTTTACTTATGTTAGCCTAAAGGTGATGAATTGACTTTTAAAGCCTTAGAAAAAGGCCCTAAGATGCCTCCATGAATATGAACACATTCTAGTGAACATAAGGAATTTGAAGTTCAGCTTTCTTAGTACATTCATCTTATTTCTCGTTGTGAAGTATAAATTCATGAGAAGCAGCATGAACATTTTTCATCTGTGGAATTTTCCTTGTCGCATTTTGAATACATGTATTTAAAGTTTAAAAGTATAGGCTGTAGACAACATTAAGTCGTTTTCTGAGTATACCTGCTGAAAACAATGCACATGACAACCTCAAGTCTACTAGTTTCAATGGATCTACTCTGAGTAAAATCATAAATATAGATTAATCCAACAACCAACAAAGGGCATTTTAGCATCCTTTTGGTAAATACTTGAGATGGTCCTGTGGCATAAAATGTGTAACCAACTTCTAAAAATATCTTAAAATATCCCAATGTAGTGATACCTGGTGTTTTAATATGCATAGTATAGACATATCAGCAGAAGGAAAATGGCTCAGTTGGAAAATGTGGAGGTACATTCTTTGTTCAAAACTATTTAAGACAGACATAATGATTCTCTGAAAGGTAGCAGCTGCTTTGTAACAGCAATCATTCAGAGAGTTTGTACTTCTACAGTTTCAAACAAATTCAATTAGCCCTTGTGCTTCAAAGCCCTTAAGGCATGAACAAGATGATGCCTGGTTGCTTTAATCTAACACAGTACTGCGAAACTTGTCAAGACAGTTTTTTGGATGTAAAGGTTAAAAAAGAATATCCCACCCCCAATTTTTAATCAAACAGTTCTATTCAAAACTATGTGCAGAGTTTATAGCAGTCTTAGCCAAGCAAGTTCAATCATAGAAGTTCCAAAAGGCACTCTAAAATGAATTCAGCAGGCAACTGGGAAGTAATCTTCTGGGAACACTCTCTTTTTAAACACAGCTTTAAAAAAGAAAATATTTAACATCATGGCCCAGTCATGTTAAAGTTTTTAATTACAGAATGAAGGGTATGTGGGTGTGTGGTAATATATATATATATATATTCCATACTATGTTACATCTGCCATATATATACCTGCCAGCATCAGAAACAAATGTCTGGACTAGCCGACTAGCCATACCTGATTCAGCATGAACTTTTGTTTGCTTTTTAGTATTTTATTGTCTGGCCTGTTTTGTAACTCTGAAGGTCTAAACAGGCCATGTGGTGGCTTACAATTTATTGGGGGGAATAGGGTGCCCTTGCAATTGAATACACCAGTTCTTCAGACCAAACAGACCTGAACGTGGTAAGTTAAGCAATTTGTGGCACCTGTGGCTTATAATGATTAAGTTGTCTGTAGTCAGATAAACAAATAGCATGCACCTGTAAAGAGGATTTCCTAAAGGTAAAACAACTGCTTGGGAATGATCATGCTGGCAAAACAGCTGCTTGCATTCTGGAGAGCAAACGAGGTAGTGTCTTCAACAACTGCCAACTCTGGCGTTTTATCAGTGCTATCTCATTAGCTGGAAACAAGGCTTAAATGCTTTGTTTATAAATTATGATTATTTCTGATTGCAGCAGTTACTGATAGTGCCACTCATTTGCAATGCAACTCTTTGAATTTGTTTAATTACAATTTGAAACAAGGCAGAGAAGATTAATTAACCCACCTGGCTGGCTGGCACGTACTCCTGGCTCGGCTCTGACATACTCATATACATGTTCTCACCGTCAAACTGCAAATGAAAAAGAAATAAATATACATTTATTTATCTATCTATATGTGGATTAAAAATTAGCAACTTTGAATGCTTCTAGCATCAAGTGACAAACGGTCGCCATTAAAAAATTATAGCCTGGTTTAAAAGATGTGTAACTGCAAGTGCACGTCTTGTCTTTGATGTTCCTGTTGTCATCCTTATTGACCCTGGATGCCAGTGATTAGGAGTAATTAGTGCTCTAGTAATTACAGCAGGCAATGAATGGTTTCCTTTCATCTGCAATCTGTTTTAAAACAAAATGGCTCATTTTGTGCACCATGTATACTTATTGCAGTAAGCGGTAGAGAAAAGCAGAATAATGGAAAAGTTTAAAAATGGCTCTTTACAAAATCTGTTTCAGTACTGATAAATAACAACTTATAATTAAATATATTAAATACGCATTTAAAAATAAGGAAAAATCTTTAGAAATTTGAGGTGGTAAATATATGTAGCTAAACAAAGACATGTTAAGGCAACAGTTGACTTGATAGAGTGAAAATAAATTACTCTCTGCTACCTTAACTGAAATTACCATCCCCAAACTGATAGAATAGATATACATTTCATGTTATTCAATACAGTTGTGTGATAAATCTCTTTGTCAGTGTAACATTAAAAAGGTAAAGGTACCCCTGCCCGTACGGGCCAGTCTTGCCAGACTCTAGGGTTGTGCGCTCATCTCACTCTATAGGCCGGGAGCCAGCGCTGTCCGCAGACACTTCTGGGTCACGTGGCCAGCGTGACATCGCTGCTCTGGCGAGCCAGAGCCGCACACGGAACGCCGTTTACCTTCCCGCTAGTAAGCGGTCCCTATTTATCTACTTGCACCCGGGGGTGCTTTCGAACTGCTAGGTTGGCAGGCGCTGGGACTGAGCAACGGGAGCGCACCCCACCGCGGGGATTCGAACCGCCGACCTTTCGATCGGCAAGTCCTAGGCGCTGAGGCTTTAACCCACAGCGCCACCCGCGTCCCATCAGTGTAACATTACATAACCTATTATATAAATACCATCAAGTACACAGAACTATGAAATGAAGACACGTTTTATCGCCAAGTGTTGTTTATTTCATACTTCATATTCCACTCTTAAGTATGCATCTAAATGTGCATGTAATTCTCACTGTTTTCCTACTTACCTTTAGAAGAAGATTAAGAGACAAATCCTGAGAATTGTACTATGCTTGTTAAAATTGTTTCTCCATGATATTGTTGGGTATATTTTGTGCAATTTACTCACAGGTGTAAGAGATCATATGAAGTTAGAGCAAGGAAGTAATGAAGTTTTTGTTTTGTTTTTTAAGTATATAACAAGGAGCCAGGATTTTATCCCAACAGCATTCAAGTTACAAAACCTACCTTTTGTGCCAAATCCCTTTCCTGTATCATGTTATTTTAGAGTACTAAACAATGCAATCCTATACAGTCTAATTAGCATTAAGCTCCATTGAGTTGAATGGAGCACAGTTCCAGGTGAATGTGGGTAGGATTACAGTTTTAATTAAACTAGGTTTTTTTTTTGGAAGCCTCTCTGGCTTGTTGTATCCAGTGTTTGACTTGTGCAAAGCTAGCCTTTTTAGAATGCAATCTTATACCCACTAACCTGGGAAACACCACTGGACTCAATGGGATTTGCTTCTATGTAGACATGATAGGATTGCCCTGTTATCATCCTTGACAAGAATCAGAATGACAGGAATTAAAATTGAACTCTTTCCCAGCTTCCTCCCCATCCTTGTTCACTCACACTTTTTCCTGAAAACCATTTGCAGCAGGAGAAAGTAAAATCATTTTAATCTGCTGTACCTACAAGACAACAAACTGCCTACTACAAAACACAGCCCTAGACAGCCCAGAGAAAGTCCACTGACTCTGGAGTGAGGTTTTCTGACTCACAATTGTTTAACAATACCAACAATGTCTTTTTCCTACCTAATCTAGACTGTTGAAATGAAGGTAGCCAGGAGAGAACTTTTGTGAGAGAGAGCTGTGAACTCAGTTCTAATACTGAATAAAATAAAAATCCCTGGATTTGGAATGTGCTCAGAGGCACCTAGTTCTTCACTTCTAGCTGTATGTCTTTTGCACCACACTCTGGTTGGTAGATCCTGGATTTCTAAAAACAACCACCCCAAACTAGATCTAACAAGCCTGAAGTCTGCCCATATTCAGATTCTTATGTGACATTCTTAAGCCAAAAACCATTCCACTGTATTTAATGGAGCCTACCTCTCAGTATGGGACTGTGCTGTTAATTTACTAGAATCAACTCATCAGCCAGACTGATGTCAATCCAAGAATATTTATAGTCCTCTGGCTTAACTGGTTCGACTACGCTTTCTTTAGCTATATGATACTTAGCCTGAGCTTATATATCTGGGCTTCCAAGTGCCATGCTAATGCTAGTTGAAACCCATTGTTATATGAAAATTAATATGATACTTCAAACATGATAAATTACTTCTGACAAATTTTCTTTTCACATTAAATTGGTACTGCATGAGCAGTTTGGTGAAACCAACAAGAAGAGGAAGAAGACTATCAGGGTTCTGTAGCATGATTCCTAGTATGACTTGAAACGAATGAAGGATTCTATACACTTTGTAAATGAAAAAAGTAGTATGCAGTTAACACTGTACCCTAACATTGCAGTAGGACTTTTACTTGAAATTTGTATGGCAGAAAGTAGTCAACCCTTTCTGCTCAAATCACTAAATATTTAATGTGGCATAGGAGTGGGTGGTTGTGCCTGCAACTTCGATTAAAATCTTATGCACACTAACCCGGTAGTTGATTTTTATCATGGTGCAAACCTCATCTTTCACAAATTGCCAGCATGATGGCACATGGGAAGTGGAGCCTAGGGCAGGATGGTGGTGAGGTTATGGCTATCTCAGTGCACAGGTTGACCACTGCTGAGATTCCTGCCATTACACTCATGTAGTCCTCATCTTGCTGTGTCTCTGCCCTAGCCCAGCCCTGCCAATGTCAGGAGGGTGACTCCACCCCACCACTGCTGGTGAGTTGAATCAGGTCGTTAGCATGAGGGGATCTGAACTGCTCCTCCTCAATGCCTGCAATTTGTTTGTGTCTGGAAAGCTTCCTTTTACTCTGATGGGACAATTTTGCCAATCCACATTGTTGGTGTGTAGGTGCACGATCCAGATTGGAAGCACTCCGGGGGAGAATAATTAAAGCCTCCCTACCCTCGCTCGCCAAATGCTAGGTATTCAGTCTGAATCTGACATGGCAATCTCTTAAAAGAATCTCAAGGGCAAATTATATGATGAATGTGTCATGTAGCATGGCTGTAAGACCCTTTAAGTACCGTGGAACATCCAAGCAGACACGCATTAGCAAGATATTCCTCCTATACATGCCTACTCAGAAATATGTCCCATTTAGTTCAGGTAACTGTGTTGAGAATTGTGGTCCAAAACAGGCTGTCAAACCAAGTTATTTGAATTAAAGACAATTTAGTACCATGTAATCAATGACTTAATTAGATTGTGCATTGTTGATGTGTACAAGTCCTTTAGAAGACTATTATCCCCTCTAAAAACAACTAAAAATAAAATTAATTAATTAAGAAAAACCAGCTAGTGAGAGAAGCACTACTAATGGCAAGAATCCTTATCTGTTTTGAAAAATAGTGTGTCTGAGAACTAAAATCCAAACTGAGCTATATATATTTTTATTGAGCAATTTGAATGTACCTGGTCAGCTAGAATGCCACATCTCAAAGACTTAATAGAAGAAATGTCAAGCTAGAATGTGAAGGACATGAAAGGTCTGCATATACTAAAGCTTCATATAATGCAGTCAAGCAAAAGAAAATTAGGTGTAGGAACTATTACAGTGGGGGACCACCCATGGAGAGCAACAGAAAATAAAGTATAAAACCAAGGCTGAGAAAATAGCTGTAGCATTTTTCCAGTTGGAGGTTAAAAAAAAAGTTGTGTGGATAAAATTTAGGGATTTTGATTGCTATGGTAAGTGGAATTCTGATACTTTGTACAATCTTGCCTTCTAATGGTTCCACTAGCTCAAGTTTTCAGGATCTGCACCAGAGTTTCCCCCCAAAAAGTTTCTGCTACTGTATTTCTCCCCCATCAGTAAATTTTATTTCACTTCCTTGATAAAAAGGTCTAAAATGTTCAATTTGGGCTGCTGACCGTTTTGCCAAACTGCAATATGCAACAATGCTCTATATTCACTGCTAGCTAAGAGATCTGAAAAACTTCAGTGAAAACTAAGTGTGCCCATTTGTATTACATGCTTGTTACTAGATCACCAAACAAAGGATTTACGTTTTGGACAGGTAATTAAAGCAGGGATGTTTACAGTCTATGTCCCAACTGTTGAATATACCCTTGTGTCCTTTGGCTGACCAACATAGGCAAACTAGTACTTACCCAACACAAACATTACTTAAAGGATGCAAGTATCCGACCAAAGACCTTGCAGTCCTAAAATGTACAAACTGCCTTTTCAGTGGCAGCCCAGTTGTAGGATGGGAGGGGGAGATAAACCTGAATACCTCCTGTGACACAAGAAATATGGATGTGGAAAACATTAGCAGTAGAAGAATTAAGGGAAGGTGCACATGAGATCCAGCTGGGTTGAGATAAGTTCCACCTGGGTTCAGACACTTAAGACTGGAATGGCCTATAAGTGAGACTCCTCACAATGATCATGATGGAACCAACAGGTGCTGCAAGAAGGTCTTCCCACAAGAGAAACTGACAATTTATTTGATGCAATTTCACTGTGAACAAAGCTATAGTGGATGACATCTCATTTGGCTGTCCACACCACTGAGATAAATACAGTGGTATTCTTATGTTATTTTAGACTCCGAGCTTAACAAGGGAAGGGGGCTTCTTTTGAAATGGTAATATCTCTTACTTCACTTACTTAAAAATGTGTTAAGGGAGCCCTGCGTCTTTGAGGATCCTCCTGCTCTTTATGCAGA